AATCTTGGTAATGTCTTCTATATTTGATATTTAAGTATTTCCTATAGTAATTTGTGGCACAACATAAAAAAAAGAAAGAAAGAAATAAAGAAATATGCTTGTCTTGAGGATAGGAGAAAAAAGGCTGTCAACATTTATTTTCTATCTACTATGTGCCAGGCATTGAGTCAAGTTTAATTTTTAAACTCAATAAAGTACAGTCATTTCATATAGAAGCTGAATCAGAGACGTTAAATATATATGATATGTAAATAAAAATAAATACAGCCAGCCCATAGCACAGTTAGGGTTTGACTCCAAAGCTCATGATTTCTCAATGTACAATACCTGCATGAATCTCTAACATAAAGTTATTACCCATGTGACAGCTGAATGACTTTAAACATAGAGAGCCTGAATAAATACACTTGTAAAATCTCTCTCACAGAATTTATATTTATCCTTCTTTTGTGGAGGGGGAGGGCAGGAACTTTAGGGTACATTCCATATCCTTCTTAGAATAATCTTATACTAAAAACTTTCATTTCAGTGAAGAAAGATGAACTTTATTATTTCTAGAAAGATTTTTGCCTTTCAGGTATCATCTGATACCAGGAGATACAAAGAAGGGATACCTTGGAAATCAGCAATTCTATATGGAAACAGAGACATATAAATCTTTCAGTATTAACTATGAGCCAGCTACTAAATTACTACACTAGATGGAACTTGCCACTGATCACTGTCGGTTATAATCATCTCAAGGTTAAACTAAGATTCCTAATTTAATTCTATGGCTGTATAGAATAGATCATTGTGACTTTAGAAAATAATTTTGGCCAGTTCCCTTTGGTATATCACTCTAAAATATGATTTAAAATAATCATATATTAAAATAAAATGAAAAGGAATTTTGATGTACTAGCAGATAAAAAAAGATTAAGCCAAAAAGAAAACAAAAACTAAGAAGTGCAATACTTTCAACCCTTAATTAAATCCCAGTGGTTAATACTGTGACTGTTTTCATCTGTACATTTTTGACTTTTGTAGGGAAAATACTGGAATCTGAAATGGGTTATAGTAAAAATTTTTCAGAAGAAAATAAGTTACATTTAATCATGATGATGACTTTAAAAGTCCTATGGCTTTCCTAAATTTATTGTATTCGAAATCTAGATCAAATATTTATTGACTACTCTTCTCTATATAAGGCAAGGGCATATACAAATTATATGCAATAAATATCTATTGAGTGAATAAAAATGAATGTGTTAAATCCATAAGGAATTAAAAGTTCCTAATATAAATTATAAAATCCAAAATAAAATAAAGGAACAATACTGTCCTGCAGAGGGAACTTGTTTGCAAATACCACATGGCTGTCATACTTGAAAAGATTCCATAGCTCTCCATATGCTACAGTATGTAAAACTCAAACACAAAATCTGGTTGCAACCTACATTTACAGTGTTGTTCAACTCCTTCACCATACCAAACCTACTTGCTATTTCAAATACAGTAATGCATTTTCAAGCTTTTCTGGCTCTACTACTAATTAGCTGAGTGATCTTGAGCAAATTTCTTAGCCATAGTTTCCTCAACTATGAAGATTAAAAACAGCACCTAAAATATAGGATTGTTGAGAGGAGTAAATGAATTAATACAAGGAATTCAATTAGAAAAATGTCTAACATGAAATAAACCTTCAGTGAATGTCACTTATTATTTTTATTATTTTCAATTGTTATTTTCACTTCCCAGCATGTTGTTTTTCAATCCTGCAGAGTAAATTTCAATTCACCTTCAAGATCTAATTCATATTAAGAAGACAAACAATCCGATAAAAGAAATTAAAGATCTGAACAGACATTTTATCAAAGTAAATATATGAATCACTAATAAGTCATAAGAAGATATTCAATATCAGTTATTAGGTTAACGTATATCAAACTGCAATGAGATTCTATTTTATATCCTCTAGGATGACTATAAGCAAAGAGACAGACGATAACAAACAGCAGTGAAGATATGAGAGAAACAAAACACACATACAATGGTAGGCAGGAAGACAAATTGGTAGCCACTTTGGAAAAGTTTGGCAATTTCTTAAAAAGTTAAACATAAAGTTACCTTACAATTCAGCAACTCAAGAGTAATGAAACATATTCATACATTAACTTGTACACAAATGTTAATATTAGTATTATTGATGATAGCCAAAAGTGGGTAATAACCTAAATTTCTATCACTGATGAACAGATAAACAAAACATAGTATATTCATAGAGTGGAATACTATTCAGCAATAAAAAGGAACAAACTACTGATACATTCTAAGACAAAGATGAACCTCAAACCTTGCTAAATGAAAGCAGCAAGACATAAGAGACCATGTATTATATAGTTCAATTTATATGAAATGTCTAGAGAAGGTAAACCTTTCAAGAAAGAAAATAGATTAGAGGTTGCCTATACAGGGGATGGGAATATGGATTAACAGTAAATGGACATAAGGGATCTTACCGGGGTCATAAAAATGTTCTAAAACTTATTTGTGATGCTGGTTGTACAACTTGGTAAATTTACTAAAAATCAGTGAATAATACACTTGAAATGGGTGAGTTATATGATATATAAATGTCTCTATAAATTTGTAAAAAAAATTACACCACATCAGGATGCATTAACTGTACTCATCTACGGATGCCAAGAGCATTCTGTCAGGTACAGCACTTGCCTGATTATATTTTACTTATTTGTGTACATGTCAGTGAGCTTCTTGTGTTTGGGCTCTTCACATGTAGTAGCTATCCTCAGCATCTGTCTGAATGATTGGCACTCAGATAGATACAGCAGGAACTCAATGTCTGTTGAATTGAAATGTGCTCCAGAAGAGGATAGGAACAATAGCAATTTCAGAAATACAACAGAAGATAGTGGCAATAAGTCCTTCCTACATGCCCTGCATTTACCCAGCAGAAGTGAGTTAATGGTGCACTGACTGGTGCTCTCCACTCTGCGACAGGCTTAGTGCTACCAACTCCAAGAGGAAACCAGGAAAGCAAGTACACAATGGTTCTGTTCTCATAGAAAAGAACAGTACTAGTCCATACTGGGTAAAAATAATTACTTGGGATTTTATTTTTTGTGGGCAATATGAATACTTAACCTACAACAAAACAAAAAGCATATACAACAAATTTTACAGGTAAAAACATTTTCAAGATGATTATTATAAAACTTTCAACAGATGACAATCTGGGATGATTTTTATAAATGTGTGAGCATTTATCATTTTCCATTATGAAAAGATTAATTGCTCCCCAAGTGCTGAACATTTCTTCCCTGAAAACACAGTAGCATTTAGAAAGAACATTAAACTGCAATTAGGATGTTAATGTGTCATTAATTCACTGTATGACTCTGGACAACTCTCTTTTCCTTTTTAGGCTTCAGTTTCCTCTTTAATAAATGCAAGATTAGTTCTAAGGTTTTTTCTAGCACTCCTATTGAGGAAAACTAAGGTGCTTCAGACAAGATGACAGATGAGAAGCTCAATCTTTTCACTATAAATAGGAAAATAAACCCCTAATTTATAAGGGAAAAGGGAAAGCCCCAGCTTAGCATTCAGCAGCCCCTTACACATATATTTATAACTTTTATCCCAATACCAGGCCCCACCCTTCTTTTAACATGCAAACCCACATACCCCATCCCTCCCACCCCTGACCCATACCCCCAAATACCTCAGCTATGGTCATTCTCAGAGCACTGACAGGGGAGAACTCAATATCCACCAGCTGGGCAGCTTTTAAACTCTGCCCAGTACAGATTGCACAAGGACAGAAAACAGCATAGAGTTAGAATTGTAAGGCAAACAGGGACACAGAGCTAAGAACATTTAGCACAGTGTTTAGAAACAAAGAAGGATTTAGGGTTGTCATGGGGCTTCAGATAAGTGAGATGTGAGTCCCTATCAGCCTCATTTTCCTGAGGAAACTGGGGAAAGATAAAATAACCTCAAATGGGTCACAATTTTAAGTCAAGCTTTGCGAACTTGTCCATACCCTGTATCCTCAGGACAATGTCTCCCAGTCATTAAGCAAAAGCTGATAGATTAAAAAAAGGGCAAAGGTTAATAATCTAGAGGGAAATCTTGATTTCCTACATTTCTTTATATAGCCACTAACAGGGCTATTTAAATTTAGTAGGAAAAGTAATGAAGATACCTCCAGTAAAGGTTTCTATTAAACTGATACCATTAAACTCTGGTATCATAAACTCCCCTGGTCTTGATTCTAAGTTTACCACAGACTTGACCAATATAACTTGACTTCCCTCCTGGCTTACCTACATTGAGAGAATGTGCTAGATATGTGCTTTCTCACCTTATAGAAGTAAAATACCTTTTAAAAAATGTTATTAAATTAGTATTCTGGTTTTTTTAATTCAAAAATGGCTATTATTTTTCATAGAGCAAACTCAAGGATAACAGTATACGATTAACGCTTGCTTTTTATACATTGCCAATTTGTGTTAATACTTCCACAGTCTAAGAAATCTGAAAGGAAATATAAAGGGCCTATAATTTTTTAATAAACCCAGCAAAATATTTGTATACACATATTCATTATTCTATTTATTAATTCTATCCTGGTTAAAAACCACTGATTTCTTTGGAAGGTATACATGTGAAGAATTTCATAAATAGAAAGTATAAATTTACATCTGAATTGAAAAAAAATTTACTGAATTTTTTTCTTCTTCCCTCAGTTCAGTTTTCAGATTTCCAGTAACTTGTTCTATAATTTAACCCTATTAAGTAGAAAGTTGTTAGCATAAAGATGTTGGGTGTGTTAGTCGTCTTTTAGAAAGGAATGTCAGTTTCTCGGCATCCTTACAGTTTTGCTATAAAATTGAGACATACTCAGCCTTTTTTGTCAGTCTATTCCAAAGAGAACAGTTATTAAAGCACAAACATAGCTCAAAAACAAATAAAATGAAAATCTGGAATTCCCTTACAGTATCACTGTCACAAGGCTGGAACTGGAAGGGCTGGGGTTTGTGAAATACAGCATTCTCTTGTAAAAACAGCTGAAGATTATAGTCTCGTACCACCTAAAGAGAAAATAAAATGTCTTTAAGTCTTTAATAAGGTTAAAATGTTCAATAATTGCATTTTAAAAGTTTAGGTTTTTTTCTGTAGTTTTTCAAAAACAAGAAATCATCCAGTACTATGTAGTCAAAAAGAAATGATAATTACAATTTTTTAATTTCACTTATTTAAAAAATTTTTACTTATTTATTTGGCTGTATCAGGTCTTAGTTGAGCATGTGAGATCCAGTTCCCTGACCAGGGATCGAAACTGGGCCCCCTGCAATGGAAGCGTGGAGTACCAGCCACCTGGGAAGCCCTTCATTTTGGATAATAGTTGTTATCCTTGTGCCCCATTTTCTCAAGAATCTAAATATGGAAAGTACTAGGTTAGAAACTAGCCCAGATTTGGGGACTAGATGATATGTACTACTTAAGACTGCAGAAAGATGGCTATTACACAAGATGTTATTCTTTTGAATGGGGATAGGGTAGATGCAAACAGGGAAGCACATCAGTTTTTTCTAAACCAGTTCTTAAGTTCTGTAGGCCTCTTAAAGTTTGCTTTATGGAGACTGCCATCTACTAGGAAACTGCTAGATAACCTTGTACACAGCACAAAATAGTATTTTTCTAGTACTTCTGACCACCTTTCTGCTGCTGCTGCTAAGTCACTTCAGTCGTGTCCAACTCTGTGTGACCCCATAGACGGTAGCCCACCAGGCTCTGCCGTCCCTGGGATTCTCCAGGCAAGAACACTGGAGTGGGTTGCCATTTCCTTCTCCAATGCAGGGAGGTGAAAAGTGAAAGTGAAGTCGCTCAGTCATGTGTGACTCAGCGATTCCATGGACTGCAGCCCACCAGGCTCCTCCGTCCATGGGATTTTCCAGGCAAGAGTACTGGAGTGGGGTGCCATTGCCTTCTCTGCACCACCTTTCTGAGGAAGTTATATTCCAATTACCATCTTAAAGCATACCAAGAAGAACAGACTAGAAAGGACTTTATAGAGAAGAGAAATTTTGATACATAGAAACTAGCAAAACAAATAGCCAAAAGAGAGCCGTCTAAAAAGAATTCACTGTTATATTCCCTGGGAAAGAGTGGAAACCAGCAACATTTGATAGTACAGAAATCCAGTTTCTAGTTTGCTACACTGCTTACCCTTGACTTGTCTTTCATCTGCTAAAGCTCATTAGACCTCTGCCAGAAGATGGGCAGAAAAAGGAAATAAAGTTTAAAGCAGTCTTTGGCTATACTTTAGTAGACCTGGGAAAAAAATTCATTCAGGAGGTAGAGAAAGTTGGAGGTGTATTTTGCATTTTACTTACCAGTACATCCCAATTCTCTATTGTTCCCCTCCCCTTCCTTCAACAACCATTTACTGAGAGAGCTTACCAGGCCTGATGTTAAACGCAGCAGAGAAGGGGTTATACACAGAGGAATAAATATGAATAAACAAAGTTAGTATCTTCAAGGAATTTATAATCTATAAAGTTGGACAATTAAACAGATTACACAATTAAAATACACTAACAAAATACATAGAAGGCACTAGGAGAGCATAAGTGCTATTTAGTCCAGACTACAGGGGTGGGGTGGAGGGAGGAGTGATTGAAAATATGTGGTCAGGGAAAGCTGGCTGAATAAACATATTCTTAAAGGGAAATGTGTTTTTTCTTTTCCTGGATTCCAGTTTTAAGCTAGAATAACTGAGAAAGCTCCTGATACAGTCCTGAGACACAGCCTTACTAGTCACCATGCAGAAAAAGCTAAGAGGATCATCCTTCTGGTTGCTAAACCTACCCCCCGAAGCACAACAAACCCAACTTCCTTCCTTTCTTTCTTTCTTTCAAGAGGGAGGTATTAATCCTCTTAAAAATTTTAACTTTTTGCTATGGAATATTTTAAAGAGAAAACAATATAATGTGTCCCCATGTACTATCAACCAACTTCCAAAACACACCAATTTTTGTTTCATCTAAAACCCACCTACCCCTTCCACCTTCTATTAAACTGAAGGAAGTCCTAGACGTATTATGTCACCTATAAATATTTCAGTGTAATGTCTAAAAGACAAACTTTAGAAAATGTATATTAAAATGTACAAATAACATTATAAAACAGTAAGTGTTTAATTTTTTGTTCATATTTTTTAAAGTTTTTCACATTAAGATCACAATAAGGTTCCTACAGTGCATATGGATGATGTTGCTTAGGTTTCTTTTCATATATAGATTTCTTGGGACTTTCCTGGCAGTACAGTGGTTAAGAATCCATGCTTCCAGTGCAGAGGCTGCAGGTTCGATCCCTGATCAGGTAACTGAGATCTCACATGGCACGTGGTGCCCCCCCCCACCCCCCCCCCCCCCGCCAAAATCACATATACGTTTCTTCCTCCATCTCCCTCACCCACCTCACTTGCAATTTACCTGTTGAAGAAACTAAGTTTTTGTTCTGTAATTTCCCATAGTCTGAATTTTGTTCACTCCATCCTTGTAGTGTTCTATTTCTTGTGTGTCCTGTAAGTTGATGTTTCACTGCATTCACGTTTATTGTTTTATTTTTTGGCAAGGTGGTGTTTACTTCTGTGAGGCTTGCCTCTGATTTGCCTCTTTTTGCTATTAACAGCTGTAGTGGGCTGAATGAATGGTGGCTCTCCAAAAGAGAGATCCCTGTCCTTAGCACTGAACTTGTGAATGCTACCTCATTTGGAAAACTGCCCTTTGCAGATATAATTGCTAAGGATTTTGAGATTAGCAAATATTCTTGATTCTGTGGCTGGGCTTTGAAATTAACGATAAGTGATATTATTATAAAAGACAAACAGAAGGAAACACAGACAGAAGAGGAGTCAGTAAGACAAGAGGCAGAGATTGGAGTGATGTGACCATGAACAAACAAAAGTCTGAAGCTACCAGAAGCTAAAAGAGGTATGAAACTGATTATCCTCTAAAGCCTTTGGTGGGAGTGCAGCATTGCTGACGCTTTCATTTCTGACTTCTGGCTTCCAGAACTGAGAGGGAATAAATGTCAGTCATTTTAAGTCATCCTGTTTATGGTAATTTGTATAGTAACCCGAGGAAACTAATAGAACAGATCTACGATGATAAATGCCTAGACATATTAGGGGCTGCAAGAACTAGAGAGTTTTCTATATTTTTCTATCACTTTATCAAGGAATTCCATCATTCCTTAGAACACTTCTATAAGAGAAACTTTCAAACTCAATTATTTAGTTACCTTGAGACTGATTTTGTATAAGGCAGGATAAACACTTGCCTCTTCCCTTTATTATCTAGTTTTCAAATTGGTTTGTTTCCCTAGTAACCGCCAAAGAATGATCAATTATAGCTTTAATAAATTATTATAAATCATGGATTTAAAAATATTTGATTATTTCAATCTACTGCTATCATTATCAATGCTAAAACAATCCCATCTTTGGCTAGCAAGATCATATCTTGAGTTCCTGGAGATGACCTAGGAGTTTTTGATAGTCTCCCTGCTTTCCATTATGACTAATTATTTAATGTTTACCTTAAATATTTTATGTCCCAGATCTAGAATCAGTGCTATTTTCCCAAGAAGCACTGTTTTTTTTTTTTTTAAAGTAAGTAGGAGAAATACATGGAAAATAAGACCTGTACAATAGAGGCACTGAGTTAGTAACTGGTCTTCTCTCTCAAACAATTCATTTTGAAAGGAAGTTGCAAAGAGATCCTGTACACCTCCCAATGTCAGCATCTTGCATAAATACAGTAAATATAAAAATTAGGAAACTGACACTGGTACAAAGCATAAAGCTTATTTAGATTTCAGCAGTTATATTAATATATGCACTCATTTTGGGATATGTGAGTGTAAAGATTTATACAATTTTATCACATGTATAGCTTCATGCAACCACTATTCCAATCAAGATATTTAACTGAACCACCGCCACATGACTCCCTTGTGCTGTTCCATAATACTTCCCTCCACTTTGTTTAGTAACTAAGTCGTATCTGACTTTTTTGCCTCATGGACTGCAGCCTCCCAGGCTTCTCTGTCTATGGGATTTCCCAGGCAAGAATACTGGAGTGGGTTGTCATTTCCTTCTCCAGGGGATCTTCCCAATCCAGGGATTGAACTCACATGTCCTGAAATGGCAGGCGGATTCTTTACCACTGAGCTACCTGGGAAGACCTTTCCCTCTACTCTCCTCATCCCTAATTCCGAGTAATTGCTTATGTGTTCTCTATTTCTATAAATACACTATTTCACAAATGTTACATAATGGAATCATGCACCATATACCTTTTGCTTTTGGCCGCATGGCGTAACATGAAGGATCTTAGTTCTTCAACCAGGAATCAAACCTGTGCCCCTTGCAGTGGAAGTGTGGAGTCTTAACCACTGGACCACTAGGGAAGCCTATTTTCATTCGGCATAATGTCCTTGAAGTTCATCCAATTTGTTGTATGTATCAACAGTTCACTCCTTTTTATTGCTGAGTAGTACTTCATAGTATGGAAACACCACCATTTATTTTGGTCCTTCACTCACTGAAGGTCAATTTAAGGAGTTTCCAGTTTTCAACTATTATGACTAAAAGCTACTCTGAACATTTGTGTGTAAGCTTCTGTGTGAAAGTAAATTTTCATTTTTTCTGGCATTTTCATATGCCCTATTTCTCTCTCTGTAAAGGTGCTACTGAAGTATAACTGACATACATACAATAACCTGTACATATTTAAAGTGTGTACTTTGATAAATTTTAACTTTCCTATATATCTGTAAAAGTCACCACAATCAAGATAATGGGCATATACCTAACTTTCAAAAGTTTCCTCATTCCCTTTGTAATCTTTCCCTTTCTGCTTCCTTCAGTCACTCCTTGTGACAACTGAGATCAGGCCTTCAATCTCGTTACTGATGTAACCTTCAGCAACTAGCCCAATGACTTCTGTCTAAAAGAATATTCAATAAACAGCTATTAAAGAACACCTCTGTATCCACCGTTGAGATTAAACAAAACATTACC